CCTAGCTTGTAGCTGTTAAAGAATACATATAAATAGGTTTATTCCCTGCTGAAAAGAGAAGAAAGAAAACACCATGTTTCAGCCAAGTATAACTTCTTCAAGTGTAAGGTGAGGTATCAGATGAATATATATATATATAAAGCATGTCCTGTCTGGGTTTTAAAAAAGGTACATTGAAAAAAAAAACATATACATATATGGAATTATTAGTAATGGTCAAAAATAGATTTTTTTTTTTAGAGAGAGATTCATACAACCTCTGATTCTTTACCCTTTATTGCAGAAATATTTCTTGTATTTGATATCGACGGTCTCAAGGGACAAACACACTTTAGATTGGGCCACAAAAGACTTTGAGCCCTTGGCAGCGATTTCATTTTTTTTTTAAAGATTTGTGATTCTTTCTTTTAAAATCGCAAAACGGTTTGCGATTTCTTTTTTCTTGGCGTGAAAACGAATCATCCTCATCTGTTTTAGTGTGTAAGTTAAAACTGTTACACAATTCTAAGTCTAACCCATGAGAACAGTCTTAATTGTAAATGAAACCGGGCTCAAGCGAGCATTCCAAGGCTATACAGAAATACGACTAAAGAATTAACGCAATTTAGACAATTCAAAATGGAATAAAACTGAAACCACTTCATTATTAAACCGCACGACTAGAACTAATTCCGTTTTAGTCCGCCGGAAGAGTAATGTTTTTGACTAGACTAAATCCAAAAGCAGGTGACTACAGAGCTACTGTGAATACTAGACATTTTGGTTAGAAGCGAAGGTTTATTCCACGCTGAAAAGAGAATAGAGGAAACAATATTCCAGCTGTGAAGCCTTCGGTGGGTGTTACATTCCGACGCAGCTACCTACGTGAACGAATAGACATTTTAGTTGACTGTGATTAAACGAGAAACCGGTGGCTACATTGGCGTTATTGAGTCACCTGCCCGGGCAAAACTCTTCCCACGGCCGAGTGCAGCTGAACGGTCTCTCTCCCTTGTTGAGGCACTGGTGGGTCCTTAAGCTCCTAGAGGCCCTGAACCGCTTCCCACACTCGCTGCAGCTGAACGGCTTCTCCCCCGTGTGGACCTGCCCGTGGGCTCTCAGGTTGCCCGAACGGGCGAAGCTCTTCCCGCACTGCGCGCAGCTGAACGGCCTCTCCCCCGTGTGGACGCGCCGGTGGGCCCTTAAGCAACTCGAGTTCCGGAAGGTCTTCCCGCACTCGCCGCAGCTGTAGGGCCTCTCTCCCGTGTGCACGCGCAGGTGTCTCTTCAGGAAGTGGGACTGGCTGAAGCTCTTCCCGCACTGCGCGCAGCTGAACGGCTTCTCTCCCGTGTGGAGGCGCTGGTGGGTCTTCAAAGCATTTAACCGGCCAAACGTCTTCCCACACTGGCTGCAGCCGAATGGCCTCTCTCCCGTGTGCACGAGCTGGTGCCTTTTAAAGTCGTGGGGGTAGCTGTAACTCTTTCCACACTGACAACAGCGGAACGGCTTCTCTCCCGTGTGGACGCGCTGGTGGGCTATGTAGCTGTTCGATTTCCTGAAGCCCTTCCCGCACTGACTGCAGTTGAACGGCCTCTCGCTCGTGTGCACGCGCTGGTGCCTTTTCAGGTCGTGCGAGAAGGTGAACCGCCTCCCGCACTGCGCGCAGCCGAACGGCCTCTCGCCCGTGTGGATGCGCCGGTGGGCCGTTAAGGTCTTGGACTGCCGGAAGGTCTTCCCACACTGGGCGCAGCTGAACGGCCTCTCTCCCGTGTGAAGGCGCTGGTGGGCCGTGAAGCTGGTCGAGTACTTAAAACTCTTCCCGCACTGAGCGCAGCTGAACGGTCTCTCTCCTGTGTGAACGAGGTGGTGGGCTGTTAAGTTACTTGGGTACCTAAAACTCTTCCCACACTGACCGCAGGTGAACGGTCTCTCTCCCGTGTGAACGCGTGGGCGGGCTGTTAAGGTACTCAACTGACTACAACTCTTCCCGAACTGAACGTGGCAGAGAGGTCCCGCTCCTATCTGATGGCGCTGGTCGGGTTGTGAAATGCTGGACTGACTGTGCCACAGCGGGGGTTCGTCCACTCCATCCGAGCGAGACCTCGACTGGTTCTTCCCCGTGCTCTGATCGTGCCCCGGTCTCCTGTTCTGCGGGCGCTCCACGGAATGGTCTTGCTCCGGGTGCTGAACCCGAGCCGAGCTCTCCTCGTCACGCCCCTCGGGGTGCTGCTCAGCAGTGTGAATCACCC